GAGCGCGGGGGAGGGGCAAGCGGGGGGCGGTGCCTGCGCGACCGGCGGGACGTCAGTTTCGCGGGAAGCTTTGTGCGCGGAGCGGCGGCGGGAGCTGGCCCTCTGGGTTGCCGCTTCTTGACGCCTGGTGGCCCAGGTGGCTTGCGTCCCTTCCCCAGGCAGGGCGGGTGGTGTGGAATGTTTCCTAGCCGTACGACAGCGTGGCTCCGCGTGCGAGGTCCACGTCTCCACCACCAGTCCTGGAGGCGGCGGCGGGACCTGCGTGGTGTTTTCTGGAGCCAGGCCATGTAGGTCTCCTAAGAAGGCCCGGGGAACTGGGGAGCCTAGGGCCAGGGTGGCCGTGTGTCTGGCCAAGAAGATCTCGGGGTCTCAGATCCTAGCAGAATAGGCCTAGTGCCCAAACCTAGGGCCATCTCTACCTGTTTCAAGGTGACCCCAAGCATCTGAGGTTGTGCAGCCGTGTCTGGCTCGCAGAGTTCTGGTTGGAGATCATTACCAAGAGTAAGTCTGCAAAGGATTGTCAGGAGTGAGGCCAGAACTTCTATCTCTCAGTCCCTAGTACTTGTCTATTCCCCCAGCCATCGTGGAGAAGGTGCAGAGAGACATCTAGGATCAGGATGGTCCTTGCTGCTCAAAACACACCTGGTCCTGCCAACTTCCCAGACTTGTGATGGTATCCTGAGGTGAAGAAAGCGTTTTAAGAAAGGGTGGGACGCCTAAGATGGTGTTGAGTGTGTACTCCCCTGGGCAATAGAACCACTAGTCAGTGCAAGTTCCCCCCCAAAACAAGAATTCAAGTTCCACATAACTTTAGAGGAGATCCTCAGATACACCTGTTAGATCAAAGAGGCTGTCCTTGCGGAGATCAGCCATACTTTATATGCTATCTAGTATCTCCCCTAAGCTCCTAAGGTTGGGTGGGACAGCCCCAAGGTTGGGTGAGACAATAAGATTAGCTCCCTAAACTGTATATAAAACTATATAAATTATGGCTTTATACTCTTTTTAGTACCTTCATTAATCTAAATTCAGAGACCCCCTACCCTTCTGAGCTCAACTATTCTTCCCCTCTAAAGTCTGTAAAATGTAAGATTTGTTCTTTGTTCTTTGGTTGCTGTTGGAGCTCCTTAGTCCAGCTCACACACACCACATACCACACACACACACACACACACACACATTATTGCAGGATCTGATCACCTGAAATTTGTCCATCTCAGTACATCTCTACCCAACCTAAAAAGTATTTAAAACACCAGTTAGGGGACCTGGAGAGATGCTCAGTGATTAAGAGCACTGACTGCTCTTGCAGAGAACCAGGGTTCAATTCCCAGCACCCACATGGTGGCTAACAGTTTTGTCTGTAGCTCCAATTCTAAGGGATTCAACACCCTCTTCTCACCTCTGGGCACTGCATGAAGTGGGTGCCCTTACATGCAGGCAATACACTCATACACATAAAATAAAAATAATAAAAAAAAAAAAAACACTAGCTGGGGTCCAGGCATAAAGCAGGGAATGAAGGTTTCTGTGCCAGAGGCTGTACTCAGGACCTTACCAAAGCCTGGTGAACTCACCATCCCACTGCTGCCATCGTTGAGAGGCTGTTTTTGGAAAGGCACTACTTGGATCCTCACTCACAAAAACCTGCAGGTGGTGAACAGCAGGCAAGACAAGGTGTTATATTGCTGGCTTGGGGTGAACCACCTGCCATGCCTAATCTCCTAATGACCTAGGCAACATCTCTGGATAGTTTGGACAGTGCTTCCCCAACAGCATCCACCTCAATCAGCATCATCTTGAAAAGGGCCATAGCTGGGTGTGGTGGCACACACCTTTAATCCCAGCACTCAGGAGGCAGAGGCAGGCGGATCTCTGTGAGTTCAAGGCCAGCCTGGTCTACATAGTGAGTTCCAGGACAGCTGGGGCTACAGGAAAACCCTGTCTCAAAAAGACCAAAAAAAAAAAAAAGAAGGAAAAGGGCCACCTGACTCACCCCTTTAATCCCAGAGGCAGGTGGATTTCCGTGAGATTGAGGCCAGCCTGGTCTACATAATGAGTTCCAGACCAGCTAGGGCTACAGGGAGATCCTAATGAAAAGGACCATGGGGCTGGAGAAATGGCTCAGTGGTAAAGCACTTACTGTGCTTCTAGCAGACTTGGGTTCAGTTCCCTACACCCACTTCCTTGCTAACACCTGTCCTTAACTCTTGTTCCAAGGGATCCTACACCCTTGTCTGGCCTCTTCAGGCATGAAGTACACACATGGTGCATTTACATACATGTACTCAAAACATACACATACAATAAAAATAACATCTTTTTTAAAAGAAAAGGGTCAGTCATGCCAGCATACACAGTAATCTCACTCTTGGACACTGGGGTAAGCTTTCCTACAAAGCTTTCTCCTAACCTTAAGACACCTTCCCAGCTCTAAAAGATTGGTAAATCGGGTATATTTTGAGGATTTGAGGCCAATTTGAGCTTCATAGTGAGACCTTGTCTCTAAAACAAAAACCCTTGACTCCAGGCTCCCTTCAGCCACCACCTGACCTTCCTGTTTTCTACCACACAACTTCCTGAGGGTTGTGTTTACTTTTTCTTTCCATTTAGAAAACTAGTGAATTAGGACTGGAGAGATGGCTCATTGGTTAAAAGCACTAGCTGCTCTTGCAGAGGAGCCAGGTTTGGTTCCTGGCACCCATATGGCTGCTAACAACCATCTGTAACTCCAATTATATGAGATATGATGCCATCTTCTGGTCTCTACGGACATTGCATGATACAGGTGCACTTACATACATGCAGGCAAAACACATAAAGAATAAATACATAAATAAAAAGAGGCCAGAGAGATGGCTCTGCTCTTAAGAGCACTGGCTGCTCTTGCAGAGGACTCAGATTCAGTTCCCAGCACCCACATAACAGCTAACAACCATCCATAACTTCAGTTCCAGGTGGCCTAACACCCACTTCTGACTTCTACAGGCATTACATGACATGGGTGCACTTAACATACATGTAGATAAAAAGGCTCATACACATTAAAATAAATTTAAAAAAATTAAGCCCCTTTTGCCAGGTAAGGAATTATGAGTTTCAGACATAAGGGACTGACATT